GAATCTTATTAATAATGTTTTTCTCTTTTGCATAAATTATAGAAACGTAGTCGAACTAAATCTGAAAATGATATATCAAAACGTGGTAGTATTGATCAGAATGAAAAGGTATGTAAAGAATTAAAAATTTTTGTTATTTGTATGTTTTTCTTGTTTTTTTCTTCTCGTTCTTAACCTTGAATCTATTTTTAACTATGTCTCAATGTAATAATTTAACAAAATCGAGCTTTTCACAATAGATAGAAAAGGAGAACTATTCTTATTTATCTGATTAATTTCTTGGTCGATGATGATTTCATTTTGTTTTTTTGTATCATTGAATTGTCTTGACAGTCAACAGTATTGTTAATAGCAAAATATTCCTTTTTTTCTGTCGGCAATAATTTACGCGAATGCATTGTCGTTCATCTTTTTTTCTTCCCTTCTTCATCGTCCTAGGATTCTCATTTTCTTATTGAGAACTATCTTTACTTCTGTTCTTTTTCTTCCCTTACGGCTATATTCATATCTCAATATGATTTCTCGTTTATATGTCATATTTTTCTCGTAAAATACAATTTTTTTACCATAATTAATTCTTCTGGTGGTCTCTTTTTTTTCTCTCATGTATATTGGTTATACTTATGTTAGTTATATTAATAAGAATGATAAATGGATAAATATGTATGTATAGGATAGATTTTTTTCGTATTATTCGTTATTTAATATAAATAGATAAGTCTGCGTATATATAAATCATATTTATTTTCAATTAGACCCATGGGAGACATCTATTGAAACGATTAAAAAAGAGTTTTTTCTTTTTTTAGTCGATTGTATATTGGAATATGCAATTGAAGTGAAGGTGAAGGTTATATCAGTAATAATCCTATGTTTGTAAAAAAGTTGCTGATAATTGACTTGACTCAACCACATCAAAAAAAAAGAAATCAAATGTGTAAATATATATACACCTTTCGAATAAGTAGAAAAAAAAGGGAAGAGAAAGTGCAAATAGTAAAGACCATAAAAGTTAATTTTTATTCCCTCTTTCTTTCTTTCATCTGTTACTATCATATGAAATTGACGCATATATGCACGTGCCATGTGTGCTTATCTAATTTTACGACATGAAGCATAGCTTGCCTCATTTTTTTTTTATCGAATAGAAAGCGAATTATATAGAAATCGCCGGTCGAGGGTGATTCTATTATGTGTCGATATTATTGAGAAATAAAAAGAAGAGAATCGAAAGCTGTTCTGTATTCCGTCTTGTGCGACAAAACAAACTGATCGAAATAAGACAGAGAACGACGAATAAAAACTACAATAATAGTAATAGCAACAAAATACTACGTAGACAAGGAAAAGAGAATCGCATGAAAAGAGAAAGAAGAAGGACACGATGGCGGTTGTCGTCATCAACATCGGCATAGTTTGTGCTTTTTTTTCTTCTCTTCCCCTGTTCTTGCTGCGGTTTTTCTTCTTACAACAAACTCGTCCGACTATTTTCATAAGTAACCTTCGAGCTATGATATATTTTTTCGATGAGTGTGTAGGTGACTAAAGAGAAAAATAATAGATTCAATCTTATAGGTATGTGTTTTGTCAATGAGTAAACGACATTTCACATAAGATTGTGCTAATTACATCCTCTTTTATTCTTGAACTGATATGTATATATATATATATATATGCTAGTTGTTATTTTACCATTTGTTTTTACTTATTCTTTATTTCTATTATGACTAGTCAAATAACCATGTTAAAGAGCAGATACCACTATAACTACTAGTACAACCAACTTCAAACGAAATGACTACCCCAATATATGCACACTCATCATTGTGCGACGATGAATAGTAAATACGAAAATGTGTGTCTATATATGCTTCAAACGACGAGTTCATTTTTTCCCTCCCTCCCTCTCTCTCCCTTCTTCTTCTTCTTCTTCTTTACTCTCTCTCTCTCTCTAACATTACATATGTGAGGAGGGAAAAGAAGAAAAAAGAAGAGAGTAAAGTGAGAAGAATTTTTGACGCTACACCTTGGCGTCGTGTTGTATGAGAAATGATTTAGATCAACTAAACCAACATCGACAGACGAGACGAGGAAAAAAAGTAGAGTGTGTACATGTATATGCATATAAAAGAGGGAGAGAGAGAGAAATAAGTAATTGATACGCATTGCTGCAACAGCAGTGCTCAGTACAATGTGTACATGCGCTTATACCAATCTGTCACCGTTAATGTCTTGTTCGTAACTGCTGCCTGATTACAATTTGTTACTTCTTTAAGTGAGTAAAAATATATAAATATAGACATGAGCAGGTAGGTAGACACACATCATGTCTTCGCCAAAGGGGCGGATTGTTAGTACGCCTATATAAAGGTTATCGATTATCGATAGACTAGGCTGAGACTTCAATTTCTAGTCCTATGGGAGTAACATGACAAATAGAAGGAAAAGAGCAACAACAACAACAACAACAAGCAGAAGGAACTAAATATATATGCTCTTTGCATTTCTACTACCCCATATCATTGTATAGTAGAATAAATAGATGCACATGCATTGTCTTTCGTTTGACTATGTGATCAAGATACTGATTATGATAAAATAAAAGAGAAGAGAAGAGAAGAAATTCATTGAAAAAATATAAAAGTTGCATTTTTCTCTTTTCTTGCTTGTCGCTTCATGGCATATTTACCTTCACTATGTGTTTTTTTTCGTTCTGTTTTCATTTTTATGTATGCAGAAAAAATAAAGTAAAGAAAAATCTTTATGTATATATACACACATATAAGTATATGAAATTTACACCTAAATATAATTTCTTTTTTCTCAAATTTTAATCGACGAAAAAGGTAAACGTTCTATACCATATAAGAAAAACATACAATATTTTATTCATTATTTTTTTTTGTGGTAAAAATTACCGATGCGCATAAACACATTCACTTACTATTTCTTTAAGTAATTCAAAAGTTTTCTCAAGTAATAATATAACTATAGCAGTTAAAGAGCATAGAAGTGAAAACCTTCCTTCTTCTTTCTTCTTCTATGCTTTATAAGTTCTCGTGAAAAAGAAACCTTAATGATTCTTTAATTGTCACATCTATATTTCTACTTATTTTATCTAGAAAAAATTACCAACTACAAATTCAGGTTATACTATTGATCAAAATTCGAACGAAAATCAAGACGAACCACGATATAAAACATCTTTTCATCATCAATCAAACGAAAAAGTTAATAATATAAATCCAGTTGTTTATCGAAATAATACACGTCGTTATTCAAATACATTTTTTAATTCAGCACGTTACGGAGGACCTCGAACATCGATTGCTGTTATACCATCATCAACAACAATAAATACTTTACAGCAAAAACAACCATCACATTTAAGTCGTTCGGTTGATCGCCTTTCTAATAATAAATCAAGTCGCCGAGAATTACGTTATGAAGAACATGATGATTACATTCCACCACTTAATTCAATTCAATGTCATCCAACATTAGATCATTACGCGAAAAATCTAAATCAACCAACTTATTTCACTTCGAATCATCGTCGTAGTCAGATAGAAACCTATCAACTATCATCAATAAATAATCGTTTAGTATTACCTAGACCGTATTCATCAAATATCCCAATTTCATACAGTCTTCAAGCCATGCCAAAAACAGTCGCGGATAATAATAATAATAAGAACAAAAATAATAATAATAATAACAATACGTATGGAAAATTATCTGAATGTCATTCACCGTTGACTCCATTAGAAAATTCTTCTGTTAAAGCTCCACGTCGTATTGAATCAGCGTATAGTCAATTTCCAGTACAAGAACCTGTCTATGCAAATACTCAATCTCTCTATGATAATATACTTTATCCTCAAACAACATCGAAAGTATTAAATAAAATAGGTGAACAACAAAAAAAATCTTGTGCATCACAAACACAATTAACATGGACAATGGCAACATTTTCATCATTTGTTGATTTAGAAAATCAATCAATTATTATTCCACAACCCGATCCAAATACACTTTATTCTGTTGTACAACATTATCAATCACCATTGACACGATCAGCATCATCTGAACTTATTGAACCACCGACACGTATATCATCCGATGTAAGTCATATTATAAAATTTTATTGAGAATATTTAAATGTATTTTATTCAATGTCAAGTGATACTTAGCCTTTATATCAATATATAATCTAAAGTTAAATTTTTTTTATCTTCTTATCATTAGGCACGCTATATCGATGATACAAATCCATCAAATCACTATCAACGTCCACGTAGTCCAACATCATCGAATGTAATTACAGTTGAAAAACGTGATGGGTCTTTTCAAACGCATCTTTCAATAGCACCAACACAGGATATTGAATCAAATAAACATTTATTTATTCATGATTCAACTCCATCACCATTATCAACTTCATCAACAACAGGTGGCGGCACTACTAGTGGTCAACCAAAATCTCATCATCATCATCATCATCATCACCATCGAAAACATAAATCACGTAGTAATGGAGGTAGTGGTCATATTAGTACACGAGACGTTGGTCTACAAGTGAATATACAAACAGTGAAAAAGATCACAATTATACCACAACGAAGTGATGAATCATCATTAGCAACAACAACAACAGCATCATCACCATCACTTATGAAAACTTCTCGTGAATTAAAAAATGTTGAAACAAATACTGAACCAATAGCAACAAAACGTGATACAAGTACATCATATGATTCTAGTATTCGTTTAGTAACATCATCATCTCAAACAATTGATTCATCATCACCATCAACTTCTATGAATTTTCAAACAAAAGCTGCTCAAACACCTAATAAAACATTACGTGATCAATCAATTGAAACAAATAATCGCGGTTTATTTGTATGTGATCTTAGTTCATTATTAAAAGGTAGTCAAGATGATTCACAATCATCATCAACATCATCATCATTAACTACAAAACGAAAATCTTAAATTTACTTTCCTTCCTTTCTTTCTTTTTTTAATGCTATTCTATTATCATATGCTTCTGTGTGTATCTTTTTTATTTTGTATTTTGTTTTCGGTTTTTTTTCCAAGAGTAAGAGAAAGAATTTATATAAATATAAATCTTGTTTGCACAAGTAGAATACAATATGACTTACTCGAATTTCAAATATGATTTCAAATGATTGAGTATTTAATGTAAATAGAATATTATTAACTGCTTTGGGTCTCATACGCCATGACTGAAATGGCATATGAGCATGACGATCATTTAATAATGCATAAGTACCAAAATCATATGTTTTAAATGATATCATACGTGTATCTAAATAAAAAATTAATCAAAAAATGTTTTTGATTATATAGAAATTCTTTTTATTTACCTGGTGCATATTCATAATCAACAAAACCTTCTTGTTTCCAATGATTTCGATCTTCAATCCATCGTGCAAGTAATGGTTTTTCTGTAACATATACATCAGTTGGAATTCTAAATATATGTTTCAGAATGATTTGTAGGAAAATTTTAGTATTTTAAGGTCAGATTCAAATAATCTTCAATATCGTCTAAGACCTTTTTGAGATAAGTATGAGATCATAAAAATCTTCTTTATCTAAATGTACTTGAATCTGGTTAAATATGAATTTCAAACTTTTACTTCCATGATATCTTATTAAGAGAGAAAGTCAAGTATAACTTGATTACTTATTGATAGAGATAAGGAAGAAAATAAATCTTATATTTGAGAGTGACTATTAAATTTAGATAAAAAAAATTTCCTTGAAATTCTTTCACACATCAACTAAACTTAAAATGTGTTTCGTATTTTTAAAAATAATATATATATCATACTTGTATTTAAGTACAATTGCTGATTCTTGTTTGAGTGCAGCAGCTAAAAACATTTTTCGTACTTCTGGATTATTGTCAATCATTGTTCCATCAAGTGTCATCGATGGATCCATTGGATCTTCCATCTTAAAATAAATGTTTAATAACGAATGAAATAGTATTAAATTTTTTAAGTTACTTTTAGATCCATTTTAGGTTTTCCTGTATCAGTTTCGGTTCCTTTATTTTTATTAGAAGAAGCATATTCTTCATAAAATCGTTTAGCAAGCATTGGATCTGATGGATATGGATAACGAACGAGAACATTATCATCATCAACTATAAATTAATCAGAAAAAGCAAACATTTCTCACATGAAGAAATTATAATGTATTCAAGTAACCTTGCATTATTGTCCATTCTTGTACTTTTTTTGGTTGTGGTGGAATATTATAGAGATTTACTTGTATTAAAGGTAATACAGGCCAATGAGAGCGAAGATCAATAACTGATTCATCAGCTAATTCTTCTAAGATTAGATCAGCTGTGACTAAAAATATAATTTTTCTTATAATATTTCATTTGTATGACTGATTTGCTCAATCTTAATCAATATACATTTCTTTAGAAGAGGAAAAAATTCTTTAAACATGTGTTCTACAATAAATCTTTCTCGAGAAGTTAATAAAAATATGATTTATGATAAATTATTGCATGGTTAATGAATAACAAAAGTTTATGAAAAGAAAACCAACCAATCATTCAAAAAGAAGCGACAGAAATAAATAAACGAATATTATCAGTCATCTGTGAATAATCGTCATTCACCGGTAATAATTGATTTTATACGTAATAGCTTTTTCTCGTCATCTACGCAACAGATCGAAATGACTTGATTCTCACGCCTATCAAGGTTAGATTTCTTCACATTCTAATTCTAGTTCGTAATGAGTGTACGACGAAATTATTATAGAATCAAAGTATATGTTAATATATTCTCAATTCTGTCAAAATGAAATAAGTTTACCATCTCGTATTGATTTTTTTCTATTTAATGCATTTTGTGGTACATCATCTCCATCTTTTGCTTCATCGGCATTTAGTAAAGCAGCTTGTTCAGCTGCTTCTTTTGCAGCTTTAGCTTCGGCTTCGGCAGCAGCCGCTGCTGCTGCAGCTGCAGCTTCTTTTTCACGTCGTCTTGATTGTTCCATTAATTTTCGTATATCAGCTGGTAATGATGGATCAATTGGTTCTTCTTCGACAACTTCTGCTGCTACTGGTTTTACTGTTTCATCAACTAATGGTTCAGGTATTGGATCTAAGATAAATACAAATATAAATAAAAAATCGAAATCTTTTAAATTAATCTACCATAAGAATATTCATTTGTTCGTACACGACATTTAGCAAGAAGTGAACGTTCAGAATAATAATCATATTTAAGAAAAAATCCAACTATAGCTATATTAGCTAATGATAATGGTTTAGGTAAATCGAAGCCAAAACCAAATTTTTCGTAAAAATAACCTTTTATTCTATATATACATTAAAGAAATTAGAAAATTTTAATCGAAAAAAAGATTATTTCAATAGAACCTTGGATTATGACTAAGATTAGCCCAGATACAAAGAGCAACATTTTCATTTTCGGCTATATATTGAAAGTTATTTGTTTCAAAATCTTGTAAATCTGTTGCTTTAAGCATTATACTATGAGCTGTTTGACGCCATTTGTAATGTAATGTATCTTCAAGTTCATGAATTGTCTAGAAAAAAAAGAAATAAATAATTTCACTATCTGTTTTTTTAAGTACAAACGTTTTTATAAATTGGAATACGTTCATTTTCCGGTGAATCGTTTGAAATCGAATTAATAACATGATATAATTCTTTAATAAGAGATAAAACAAGATTTGTTTGTTTCATAGTATATTCAACATTAATTCGTTGTTGTTCATCACGCCATAAAGATATAAATGTATTAATTTCAAGTAAACTTGATGGATCTGGTGTACCATCACATTGCATAACACGTTTCCACTTTTAAAGAAAGATAAAAACATAGAAATATTTTTTTGCGAAGAAAAATTTTACTTGAAATTCTTCTCGTTGTTTTTCACGTAGATCATGCGCTTCATCTTGCCTTGGAAGAATAAATTCATAAAATTCACTTAATTCTCGACGTCTTAATTCATTGATCTATGTATTTATATATAATATTTGTAAGACGAAAAGAAAAATATTCAATACATACTTCTTTCGCTACGATAGCTCGTTCTTCAGCAAGTCGTTTTTCATTTTCAATACGTTCTTTTTCAGCAATTTCAGCACGAACTCGAGCTTCCTCTGTAATATGAACATAGAATATTAAATAAGATTGGCAGTGTGGCCGAGTGGTCTAAGGCGCTGGTTTTAGGCACCAGTCGTAAAAGGCGTGGGTTCGAATCCCACCGCTGTCAGTATATTATGAAGTAAAACGGTTTGCTTCTCTTTTTTTTCCTCTTTCCTACTTTCTCTTTTTTGTTATATATGATCCTAACAGTAAAGATATTTCGACATATTCATATACGATCAACTATAGAAGAAGTTTGAAGTTTCATTTCTTTATCCAAGATAGAAAAAAATAGGCTACAGACAACTATTAACCTCACGTTTAGCAAGTATTTAGTTTATAATATATAATATAAAACCTAGACATCGACTGACAGTGGCATGCTAAGGTCATTTTAAAGAATCTATTAGCCTATCGTTTAATACTTGTGGAAAAAAAGAAAAGAAATGTATCCCTGAAAAGTCCCAAGAGAAACTAAACAGTTGTTTCTTCTAGATGATATCGATGAAGGAATATTATACATTATTAGACCTTGTTAGAATTCTATTTGTACTCGAGACATATCGGCAATGATGTCGAATAGTTAAAGTTTTTATTTTCTCTGTAATATTTTTATTTAAAATGTAATTGTCATGAAGTTATAAAAATAATATATTTCTTAATGTGTCTATTCATATTTCTATAATAAAATGAAAAAATTTATACCCGAATTTTTTTCAATAATTTTCTTAGATTTGTTATGTGGTTAGATTGAAAATAAAATAGATGAATTAAAGTAAGTAATTACCTTCTTCTCGCAGTCTTCGTGCTTCTTCTTCTCGCTTTTTTTTTGCTTTTCCAGTTTTGTTTGTAGTTGCAGCTGATTTCTAAATAATTTCAAAAAAAATTATCTTTTTATATTCAAGAAAATATTTTATTAATAATAAAAACAAAATTAGATAATTGAATTGCATACGCTAGTTTTCTTTTTTTGTTTTGGTACTTTTGTAGTACGTTTTTTACGCGAATTTAGTTTTTTCATCTTGGCATTATTTGTTACTGATAAATTAAATGGATTAATAGATGTATTGATTACTAATGATTGACTATCCATTGTTTTGTCTTTTATCTATATTAAGATCTAACTGTTCATTGTGTCTTTCATTATAGATCGCATCATCATTTACTATTTTATGTGAATAACTTCTACTAGTTCCCATACAGGAAAATATATATCACACGTAGATAAGAATACTATTTTTCTAATTAATATTAATAAAATTTATTTACTTACTTGAGTATTAGACATTGATAAATTCTTTATTTTAAAGTTAGAAATGAAATTTCACATGTGTAAGTTTTCATTATATAGTCTGTTGTCATGTCAACGATCTTTATCACTGACCTCTCCTATATTTCTATTGGTTAATATATACATAAATTGAATTATTGATGTATGAGTCATTATGTGATTGTAGTATTTTTGTTAGAGTTAGACTATCATATGTAATATAAGACATCGATATTCAATGCTCTCTAGATAACAACAAGTAAATCCAATTCCACATATTTTATCAAAGCTGGCATCGATTATATAAACAACGAAATCATTGATAGAAAAAAAGAAAGTGAAAAAGAAAAGCGATGGGGAATATGTTTGGTTCGATCTTTGGAAAGAAACATTATCGAATATTGATGCTTGGTCTCGGTAAGAAAATAATTAAAAATAAATCTAATTAATATATATTCTTTATTTATATTAAGATAATGCTGGAAAAACATCTATTCTTTATCGTCTTCGTCATAAAGAAACTATTACAACGATACCTACGGTTGGATTTAATGTTGAAACTGTTTTATTAGGACATGTGAAATTCAATGTATGGGATGTCGGTGGACAGGTAATTAAAATAAAAAATCTTATTCAATAGATTTTAAGAAATAATTCAACAATAAGACTTATTTTCTTATGTGCCCCTAAAATAATTGAATTAGTCATTATTTTCGTATTCTCGTCATGATTACATATGCATAAATATATCTATGTGCATATATTTGTTATGATCGATACGACGCAAATCGGGTCGAGAAAATAACTTTTAGCTATTCATTGGGCATTGATGTATGAAGAAAAACAAATATCATGAAAACACCTGGATTTGATTTTAAATTTCGTGACTAATTTGGTTAAAGAAAAATACACCCTTCCTAGATATTCTATTTCAGTTCAATTATAAAATCTATGATTTTAGCTCATATATTATTTTTCTTTAGGATAAAATTCGTCCATTATGGCGACATTATTACACTGGATCTCAAGGTCTTATTTTTGTTGTTGATTCATGTGATCGTGAACGTATGGAAGAAGCAAGTCATGAATTAGATAAAATTATAAATGATCGTGAAATGCGCAATACTGTTCTTCTTGTTTTTTGCAATAAACAAGATATGCAAGGTTGTATGCAACCAGCTGAAATACGGCAAGCATTACATCTAGATAAATTATCACGTCCATATGCTATTATGCCATGTTCAGCTTTGCAGGGAACTGGTCTTCCAGAAGGTCTCAAATGGCTATCTGAACATTGTAAATAAAAATAAAAATAATAGCAGAATGTCTGTATTTGTGTGCAGTGATGGTGAATTGACGGCATTTTCTGTTATTGTTGTTGTTTATCTCTCCTTTTTTTTATACATATTAAACTGATGCGTTATTAGTGTGTGCGCGTGTGTGTGTATATGAAGAGTCACTGTTTTCTTTTTTTTTGATAATAAGATAGTTAAAAAAAAAAAGAACAAACATAAAACAAAGATATACATTGAATGATTTCTTTAGAGAAAAAAAAATAATGTTTAAATCTTCATTTTTATTTCGTCATTTATCATTACAATCGAAACGTTATATTCATTTAACAAATCCATCATTAACAGCAGGACAAACACAATATCATGGTCAACAAAATTCAACATGGTGGGATAAATATGGTTCACATGTGGATCCAATTCAATCACGTGTAGATTTATTGAATATGGATGATTTAGATGAACGACATTTTCGTCCTGTTAAACCAGTTATTCCAACTTATCAATCATTTTCTTGTTTTCATGATCCAATTGTATCTCGTGTTATAGGAATTTTATTACGTGAAGGTGATCGTGAATTAGTTGAAGAATTGATGCATAAAACATTTCGAACAATTAAATTAATACAAATTGGAAAATGGACACGAGCAAAAACAGATGACGAACGTTCTTTAATTGAATGTAATCCTGTTAATTTACTTAAACAAGCAATTAAAAATGCAACACCTATTGTTCGTAAGTTAAATAACTAGAAAAAATAAAAAAAGATTTTTTTATTGAATTATTTTTTTTTATAAAGGTCTTACTCGAATTGCTAAAGGTGGTACTTTATATTCAGTACCTATTCCAATGTCACCAGTTCGTGGGACGTATACAGCTATTCGTTTATTAATTGATAGTACACATGATGCTCGTCCACATGATCAACGATTTTGGACATTATTTGCTAAAGAAATAATGGATGCTGCGCAAAATCAAGGGCGTACAATAAAGAAAAAACAAGAAATACATCGAAATGCGGAATTAAATCGCGCATACGCACATTTCAAATGGCAAAAATAAGAAATATGTTTATCGTTTGTTGTTTTTTTTTGTTGTTTTGTATGAAGGTGAATAAAAATTAGACTGTAAAATACCCGGACTGTTTACTTACTTACTTAGTAGCAATAAGAAAGTACTGCAAAAACGTGATCAATGACGCAACTACTATCTATTTTTAAAAGGGGAGATTCTATTGTATTCATCGAAAAAAATAGGAATGACGTGGCAATCGATTCGCGTCACGGTTGGTATATTCCGAGGTATAAAAAGGGGTATCTTTTGTCGTTATTCAAACATTATTATACATTATACTTCAAACGTCAATACAAATATAAAACAAGTGAGTTTGAATACATTTTATAAATATATATGCAATAGCTGATCATCTATATTTTTTAAGAAATGAGCAGTATTATCAATAAATTATTGGGTAAAGATCATGATGATCATCACAAAAAGGAAACCAAAGTTGAAACTGAAACATCTCAGAAAACTGAAACATGTAATAAATCTGGTGGTACATGTACTAAAACTGAAACCAAATGTGAAGGTGGAACATGTGCAACATCAACAATTGGTGGTGAAAAATGTGGACAAAAAGCTGAATGTGCAAGTATCAGCTCAAATAATCGTACAGGTGGTCAAAATACTGAATCCCATTCAGTTCAACGTGATGGTGTAAATATTAAATCAACAGTCCACACAGAAGGTACCTCAACAGTATCAATGGCTAATCAACAAAAACTTACAGATCTTGTTTCAAAATTAGGTTAGTTGAATATTCAACAATTAATAAATATTTCTATGGATATTTTTTTCCTCTAGGATCAACACATGCACAAATTGATGAATATGCTAGAAATCAAACTGAAAAAATTAACGAACAAATTCAACGTGAAATCGATGAAGTTGTTGGCCGCATACGTCGTGAACAAGATGACCTTCTCCGTAAAGCTAATGAACAAACTGCTGAAATCGATAATGAATATCGTGCCCGTTTACAATTAATGGTAGAAGAAATTGATGCCGCTAAAGCAAAACGAATTGCTGACATTGAAGCTTCTTTGAATAACCAACAAGCTGCTATTCTTCAATCAGCTAGAAATGAAATTGATGAATTAAACAAGAAAGCTGCTAAACTCAAAATTGGTGTTTTAGAAGCCGCTGAAGCTAAATCAGCGCAAGATGCACGTGAAATCACTGCTCATGCAGATTTAGGCAAAGCAGCAACTATTCATCAACAATCAGGAACAACAACAATTAAAACTGATGTAGTAGGAGCAGCAGAAACTGAAACAGCTGGTAGCGCTACTGTAACAACTGTTGGCGCCAAAACTGTTAGTGAACAACACAAAGTAGTTGAAGCTAGCGCCAGCCAATCACGTAAATAATATCAAAATATAAACCTCATCAAACAAAACAATAATAAAAAATTTTTATATATAATATATCCAAGCAGTTGTAGTTAACTTTTTCTTATTTTTTTCTCTTTCGAATAAATATGATACAGTCACATGTACTTTAACAATTGCCATATAAATAATCTATTGTTATTCATAATATCAAGCTACAAAATAATTCGTTACATTTTCAGATAAAATTGCATATTTATACTTTCTGATAAATAAATAATCTCAATAGAGTTAATATATTTAAGTTTTATTCGAAAATAATTAAAAAAAAATGCAGTACACATTTGGTTTAATTGTACCAGGTGCGATAATTACTTCAATTTTAAATTCGACTCCTATTATTCGTTTGTGTGGTAGTCTACCTGAATTAGGTTCATGGTCTATAGATAAAGCACCACAACTTAATCTTCTCACGAAAGAACTTTATCGTCCTATACATTTATCTAATGAACCACGTTTTTATCGACTTGATATAAATATATCGAAAGATGTGAAAGAATTTGATTATAAATATGTTATTAACGATGTTATGTGGGAAGGCAAACGACAAGAGAATCGTGTATGGTTCAGAGATGATTGTAAAAATTTGGTTGATGGAATTTATTATACACCAATTGATTATTGGATTGATGTTGACACAGGGGGTATGAAGAAAATAATTTTCTCTCATATAAATTTTTTTTTTTACAAAAATCATTTTCTATTTAGCAACGGATGAAAAAACTCATACATCAAATTTTTATAATGAAATAGTTCGAAATCAAATTATGCATTATGGTCGTGTTAATGACAAATTGTATGTTGGAGGTTGCCCTCGTACATTAGAACACATTGAAAATGTATTAAAGAAAGAATTAAATGTAACAGCTGTTCTTAATTTACAAGTTGTTAAAGATATTGAACGAAATTGTAAAAAAATTCTTGGTGATGATCACGTGCCAGAACCAAATAATGAATATGATTTAGCAAGTGTTGATATATTAAGAAAAGCTTATGAACAAGCAGGAATCTTATTTTTATGGGTACCAATAACTGATTTATCATCGACAGGAAGAGAATTAATGTCACCACAAGCTAC